ACTCCTAAGCAGTCAACCTCAGAACCTCTAGCCTACTTACATAAGGCCATCAGGACCCTTTATCATATTAAATAGTATTCCTTTAAGGCTACAACTATCCTTAAAACCCTTAATAAATGATCACCAATACTAAAAGTAAAGAAGTATTTAGTTCAGAGTTCAGACTCTTTTAGATCTTATTTTAACTAAAGAGATACATCATACTTTCTACTACCTAGATAGATTTTCCATTCCCTAACCAATCTCATTATTTTATAAAGCATATATCCCCCATGAACTACTGTTTTGAGTTTTTTTATGTTTTTAATTTTTTTTTTTTTTTTTTAATTTTTTTCCCCCATTATTACATAGGCATATTATTATATTCCTATTATTGTGTAGCACCATCTGTTATATTATTATGCTTTAGTACTAGTTTTACTAAGAACAACTGTCTTCCCTGACATACCAGCGCATGCCTGTAGAGCACCTACCAGCGTTTTTCTAGAATATGGGGTTGTCATTTTAACATCACCCTATATATAATAGAAAGAGAATCTCATATAGGAAGGAAGATAAGAAGGGAATCAGGGAGGAAATCTAGGGACTACTATAGTACCTAGACATTACGAGGGGATTCATACAGCGAAAATAAGAGAGAAGGTTAAGTAGTAGTGGGTTTCCCGACTGCGATCCTATCCCTTCCCAACGACCAGCCTACCGTAGACTATGATAGTTGGGTGGGCGAGTGGACAGAGGGTAACTATTAGAGACAAGCAATATCATGATTAGGGAGAAAGGTGTGTCTACAGTGGCACGTCAAAAGTTTGAATCCAGCGTATTTACTGCTAGGTCCGATTAGGCAACTCCCTAATATTCTATCTGCAGATTCAAATCTCAAGATACCTCTCTCAATAATTAATTATTATGGCCCCTCACAAAGAATTATCTCCACAGATGTGATCACGTATCTGTGAGTTGCATAGTATTAGATGGAGTTATTCTAGAATTCATAAAAAGCATCCTGAAATCCCTCTTGGTTCTATTAAGACCACTATTTGTCGAGAATCTATCCAGAATAACAATATGACGCGCCTGCGTTCTGGCAGACCCCAAAAGCTTACTAAGGTTCAATGTGATCATATCTATAACCTTAGTTAGTCTAATTCACATATTAAATTACAAGATATGTTAGTAGAGGTTGACTTCTATGTGAAAATGCATTCAATTCAGAGACTTCTTAATAAAATGGGCCTCTATAAATGGAGGTAGCTTCACCATCTAGAGCTTTAACTTCACTATGCTACTCAACGCCTTGCATGGGCACATTACTATGAACACTATACATTAGAAGATTAGGCCCGTGTTAAATGGACAGATGAATGCTTAGTTAAATAAGGTGCAGGTGTATAACTAATCTGGACATTCCAGCGTCCATCTAAGCAACTCTCTACTGGTGATGTCTGTACCAGACGTACAGGGAAGGGTGTTAAGCAGATATTTTAGGCTGGATTTGGACAATCTATTCAGACAGGCCTTATTCCACTACATGGTGATCCAGATGTTGGCCATGGAGGGGTTAATTTAACATATATTAAGGCTTTATACCGAGCATAGCTTCCAGAGTTTATTTTTAAGGGTGATATCTTTATGCATGATAGCACATCTGTGCATACTGCAGGGATTGTTCAACAGCTTCTTCAAGATCTAGGGATAGAGGTTATGGACTAGCTACCCTACTCCCCTGATTTAAATCCAATTGAGAACCTCTGGGCTATTATGAAGCAAGAAATCTATAAGCTCTACCCTGAGCTTGAGCACGCACCAGATACAGCAGATACACTAGAGCAGCTTGTATATGCAGCAAAGGAGGCATGGAATAGTATTGATAGTCAAATCCTAGAGAAGCTATCTAATACCATGCCTCACCGGGTCAAGGCAGTCATTGAGGCGAATGGCTGGTATACAAAGTATTAGATTCGAACTTGCAGATAATATGGAGTTGCCTAATCAGGCCTAGCGGTAAATACCACTGGATTCAAACTTTTGACGTGCCACTGTAGTATCGAAAGATGATAAAAAATTGATATGCAGGGGTATCTACAATCAGCAAGAGTTACCACCAATTCAGCACAAACCAAACAGCTGTCAAGACCATGGCCAGGTGCTGCTTCTGGGCTCTTACAACCCCTGCTGATAAAGCGCCCGCTGAGCTTACTGACGGCACTGTCGTTGAAGATGCACCTGTCGGCGCCCCAATTCTTGCCCCAGAGCCATCAGCTACAACCGATGTAACCGGATGCGAAACCTGGGTGGCACTGGGAACAGAATCAGTTCCAACGCCAATTTCCAGTATGTTGTCCTTTGTCGAGTTGAAGTTTGTGTTGGCGATAGATATCTCGTTGTTGGCTATGTCATATACGACATACGCACTGCGCAAGAATGTGTCACCCAGAACCGCAGTACTGTCTCCTGCGGGGACAATTCCAAAGATACATGCACGTGTACCATCCCGGAAACGAAGGTCGCCCGCGTCCAGGAGAAGCTCGTCAATCATAACCGTGATATTCGGAGATGAAAATGTATATGTTATATTCATGTTGTTTCCCGCCAAATTGCATGGCAGGTAACCGACCCCGCTTGAAGGTTCATACGCGACGTTGAGGTCACGATATATTTTCTCGACGATAGAGTCAGGAAGATAGGTCAAAGAGCTGCCGGAGTCGAGCAGTACCGCCGCCGGTAAGGCATCTGATGAGTAAGTTTTATGATGCGACTCCGAGTCGAACGCAACTCCAGTCAATGCGATCACAAACTCCGAGTACCGTCCGTTGACCTTTTGTATGGGCAAAGTCTGCAGCTCTCCGAGATACTTTTCTGTATTGACACCCCCGAATAATATTGATCCCGTGTTCGATTCAAGGTCATTTAACCAAAGGCTGTAGGCATTGGATTTGATCAATCCCTGGTCGACCATTGCTCGTGGAAGGTTTGGGTAAGCGTCTTTGCCGTATCGACCCACCTGAACCTCATTCGACGGGTAGCCAATTCCTAGAACGCCTTCTATACCAAGGGAGACAGCATTAGTTCCCTACACTGAAGCAATGCAGGTACATGTAGAGCGGAAATTCGCCCAATCCCAGGCTGTGGTCGACTTACCTGAAGAACTAGACGAGTACCCTATTCCAAATTGCAGGTCTTTTAGTGTTGACCCTCCAATACGGAGTGTATCAGTTGCATAATCGCCCACGGCGCCGGTCCCATCAGCGTATGATATATTGAAATCTGATGAAACATAGGCATATGTTGACGAGGAAGAAGGGTCATAAGAACCGGATATGTTGCAGGAATCACTCGAAGCCGAGCACAGTGTTGAGTTAGCCGCGTTGCACCATAAATCGCTACTCCCAGTGTCGAGAACAAGGCGCAGGGCCTGCCCAGGGGTGCCGAGAGTCACGTTGCAAAAGTACAGAGTTTCCTGGTTGAATGTAAATATGATCCAACCGATGAACCGGAAAATCAACTTCCGGGGGTACATTACTCACCTCGTTATCGAGCGTTTGGTCGATTGTCTTGTCTCTTTTCCGCCGAACTCGGTCCCTCGCCACAGGGTCTGAAATAATGCTACGCTTGATATCCAGTGAGACCACAGCAGGAACATCCCTCTGATGCAGTGTTAAGCAGGCACCATGTTTGACCGTCAGACACACAATAAAAAGGAGAGAGAATATGTGCCGCATGATTGGCCCGCTATGATGCTATCTCGTCCAACTGCCAGAGTTGCGGGGCCCAGACTGTATAAAGCCGCAGAAGCTGTAGAAACTCAGTCATCAGCAGGTATTGAGATGATAGCACACATCAGCTGAGGCTAGTCTGGAGGGCTCCAAAGCCTAGGACTCCCTTGGCACATACGCCCGTATTTGCGCCCCTCGGGTGACCTAATGGCTATGATAGAAGTGACCTACTCTTCTGTGATATGATACTGCCGGTATTGCTCGCAGACAAACAGGATGGGTCAATCACCTTCATGTACCAGCACAATAAGGTGCAGGAAATCATACATCGCTTTGCCCAGCTTTTCAGGCCAGAGTTGCCCGAGGATAGTACACTCGGTCGGCCCAGCGCAGTCGGGGGACCGGATAAGTACCAGCTTCAAGCATCATAAATATCATGGCGTGTCGGCTGCTGTCGTCATCAATGGTGGGCCCCTGGTCGCTTTCAGACTCTCAGTACATTGATGGTTCCAATGGGAGGGCTGCTAATATTCCGGATGATCATCAGTTGAATAAGCAATGCAGTCCCCACTTTGAGGATTTGGCGCACTCTGTAGGATCAATTAAGAACCTGGAAGCCTAGCCCACGAGGCCTGGGCCCCAGCCATTGCCGCAAACAGCTACTATCGGAGAATGCGGAAACTGATTTTCAAATACTGCTCATTCAAGTTATTATTCAATGTTCAAGGTGTGCCTAAATATTCTGTCATATCCTGACTAGGATTTTGAAAATACTACTGATACGCACAACCCTGCTAGTAACACATAGCAATATGTTACGTAACATGTCCAGTTGCTGCAATATTTGAATATTAATACCCATGACAGCTAGGCCTCAGGTACCGTACTCTCAAAGTAACCGGTACCTTATATTTAAGGAAGTCTGCTACCGTCAATTATCAAGCGAATACCAGTTGGGCAGTACCTATCTTAAGGCACTTGCTTCTCAATGGAACCATATGTAAGAGGGAAATGTATGGAGTACACTGCATGCTCCTGGTAATGCTCCCACTTGCCGCACACCACTTATCTTCTGCTCCTCTGACTCCATCTGGGCCTCTTTAGTGCTCTCCACGCAACGAACCTACCTACCAGTCTGGCTCTGTAGGCAGCAGCCATTATCCAATATAGATGACGTACCTCTGCCAATATAGATGACGTACCCCTCTACAGTTGCACTGCCTGCGATGCTGAAGTGAATTCATTCCTAGGCCAGGATGTTCTCTAGAGCATATGTCGCATTTCTTTCACCAACCCAAGCGAGATCTAATTAGCTATGCACATATTCATACATATACATATACAAACGTACACATATATATATGTATGTATCTTATTGCATAATCAGCAGTTGATAAGTACCTAGACAGGCAATAGTGGTGGGTAATTCTCAATAGTGGCCATCATTATGAACTGATCATCAGAGTATGACTAACCGAACCTACATACGTACCCGGCAGAGCACGATGACAACGTATATGAAGGGTTAAATCAACCCCATGGCGACTTTGACTTGCTCCATTGTCAACTCAGCGTTGGCCCGCGCGGCTTCAGAACCCTGTTCTGCTATAGAATCAAGGTAGTCAGTCTGATCTCCTACAAGTGAGAGATACTTCTCCCTTATTCCCTCAAGGTGATTGGACAACGTTCTGGCCAGATGTTCCTTTAAAGCGCGAAGACTGGCTGAACGGTATTCCATGGCTATCTCATCGCAAGTTCGTCCGTCGAAATGACTCAAGATCTCTATTAGATTCGCCACCCCAGGTCGACGCACTGGGTCATATGTTATGGTCAATTCCGAGTCTGTGAGCGCAGCATTGATCTTCTTGGAGATTTCTGCGGGCGAATCCGTAAGAATGATCCTTGAGCGTCTGTCGGCATGGGACTTGGACATTTTCAATGTCGGTTCTTTGAGGGACATAACCCGCTTAGCAGGCGCTATTGATAGTCGTCAATTTCCCAACACAGGACCCTTCCGCAAGAGGCAAAATCCACTTACATATAATTGCCTCTGGTGACGGGAAAATGGGTCCATATACATGATTAAAACTATTCGCAGTGTTCCTCGAAAATTCGAGGTGCTGCCTTTGATCATCTCCGACAGGAACATGAGTAGCTCTGATCTACATCAGTAATGTGAAAATGCACCAATGATTGGGCGGCATACCTATGAACTAGAATATCCGCCGCTTGTAGAACAGGGTATGAGAACAATCCCAATCGCAAACTTGACCTCGCCGCCGAGTCTTCCAGATTTGCGTTATCAGGCAACTGAAGTTTGCTCTGGACGATGTCAGCTAGCCGTTCCTTCTGACTATTGGACCAGGTTGGCGCTTGATCTGGATATTAACCTTCCACTGTGTCATTCGGGAGAGATATCCCATAGAGGCTATTGTGCACAAAATCCAAAACAGTTCGGCGTGCGCATGGACCTAATGATATGGTCAGTAAACTTTATAACCCAGATTCATACTGCATACGGCGGACTGGTAGAAAATCGTTGACCGATTCGGGTCTAAGCCAACGGCAATGAGTGTTGCAAAGGTCTCTTTTCTCCAATTTCGTAGCTGGGAGGCGTCTTGTGGCACCGTCAACGCATGCAAGTCGACGATAGAGAAAAACAATCTTGTCCCCTCCTTCGCAGCATTTTGTAGCCGTACCCATTCACGCAAAGCTCCCAGATAATTTCCAAGGTGCGGTACGCCGGTTGGTTGAATCCCGGAGAATATGGTCTGGATGGCAGCTGAAGACGATTTCGCCGTCTCTGAGCTACTCCATCTGCGGAAAGCTTCTCTCGACGTCACAGGTTTCCCTGCATGAGTGCGAGGTCTCCTTGCTCCACGCAGAACTCCGAGAACTTGACTCTTGTGGCAATTGGATCCCTGCATATCCAATCTGTTGACCGGGATGGGAATTTTGGTGCAAACCGTATTTGTGTGATGGCTTTCTATTCGGAAAGGATATACGTCTCGTAATGCTTAGCACTCCGACAAAATACTTAAACCACGTGATATCAGTACTACTTCTCAACCATCTATACTTCGAGCTCGTAGTACACATAAGCCGGATCCTGATGACAGGTATACTCATACTGCTTCACAAATATTGATGACTAATGAAATTGCTGCGTGTGTATATGGGCCCCAGAGAAAAGTTGGTTGATTACCGAGATGCTAAGAGAATTATAAACAGAGCAAACCAAACCTAAACATAACCATGAGGTCAACCCTTGCGAATGTCTGTCAAGGGGCTCTTGTTATGAGTGAAACGCTCATTTTCTAGAAGATCAAATACCGCGCTCTGATCCGATCCGTCACTCCGATGACCGAAATGTGAGAGGTACGGTTCAAGCGACTTCTCGATATCGGGCAGTGCTTCATCCATGTTCCGGGCCACGTCTAGATTTAACACTCCGTAAGCATAAAGACTTGACACGATGCCGGTCAGGCAGTAAGTATAGCGGGAGGAGGCCATACCGAGGCTTTCGTGATCCCACACATTTGCTTTCATACCGACGCCATAGAACGCATGTTTACGTAAAAAAGCCAGCCATGCCTGTACAGCTTGGGGATGCCCATCTTTGATCTGAATCAACCGGCGGAGGGTTATTCGCTCGAAGTTCTCCTGACTTTTCTTGTGAACGAAATTGCTTCGCGGGAAAGTCCAGCGCTCAACGATCCGTGGCAGAGGAACCGGCCCAGAAACAGGAAGTTCCAGGTAATATGCGGCGCGTACAGCAAAGTCAGCAAAAAACTCCAAGTTGCGAACGCTATAAGACCTGAGTTGAAGATCGCAGACTGGCAGACCAAATTCAGGCTTCCTCCGAAGTGGCCGAAGATACAACGCTTGTACGCTCCGCGGGAGTCGGGCCTTCTGACCAACACTGTCCAAGCGCACTGACCTATTTACCGATGAGCATGGTGGCGCAGCATAAAATGCCTGCAGAGAACTAGATCACCAACCATTCTTTGACGCCTGAATCTGACGAAGGCGCTGGATTCCTTGATCTGAGCATGGTTTGTTAGTCCAGGGACTTTACCAAGTAGCATGAATCCAACAGGTGAAAAAGGCATCTCTAACAATTCTGAGCTTGTGACTGGATCGCTGCGAGACTCAGACGGCCTAGAGTCTACGATGTCCAGCTCGGCTGAAGAGGCGATGCTGCGAGAGGCGGATACGGCGAACTTTTTTAGTAAGATCAGCTTCACAGGGCACACTTGTGAAAAGAGAAATCACCGCTGAATACCTTCAGATGCCTAGCAGCTCGTAAATGAAAAAGTGGACCGAGGGAAATTGACATAGTGTATCTGGGCAGGATGACTGATAGGTGGCTTACAGACACACAATCCTGTCAACTTTTGCGAAGTTGTGTAGATACCTTGGCTTTTCTGCCAGACACAACTAAAGCAGAAGTTCTGGTCAATTAGAGATTCTGCTGACCGCCTTGTCTACCTTTGGTAACACTGCCCTCGAGCTAGTACCAACGTGGCAAGTGGACGCATTAATATTATCATTCTGGAATATTTACATGTTGCTATACCTAACTACAACCATCATTATTGTTTGCTGAGTGCTCACCAGGCAATTCAAAATTATAAGTCAATCTACCTTCATCACATCAGCTGGTGGATATGCTCCACCGTCTTCCACATAGTTGTATGTTCCTGCCCCATGCCAACAGATATTTTACACCATTGCGTAGGTCAACTGCAGTCGATCATTGTATCCTACGTTTTATGATATAGTCTGTGATCCTCGAAGAAGTATCAGCTTTAGTAGCCGAACTCTTGAATTTGGAGGAGATATCTGACTGCGCTGCGCGCATGTACCTAGTACATCTAGAATAGTGAAACTGTGCAGCAATAAGGTCACTTCTATACTAGCTAGCCTGCACTCAGTTAGCGGCTGAAGCAAAGCACATGTTGGTGAAGCAGATTAATATTACCAATGCCTAAGAAGCACCTGTTATTCTGAACTCCTATTCTGTTTTCAGTGGTGTATTATCGCACCTGAGGCAAGTTACCACTGCTTGATTGGAGCTTAGATAGTAAGCTGACTTATACACTGGCAGGTCAAAAGTCTGAAACCAGTGGTATTACCGCTAGCTTAACTAGGAAATTCCTTGCCTATACTGCCACAATTCAAATCTTAAGATACCCTCCCAAATTAACAATATCACGGCGCTTTACTAAAAGTAATCACTGTAGATGCAATTATACATATTTAGTCTCTATAGTGTTGAATAGAATCATTATACGCTTTATAGAAAGCATCATAATATCGCTTATAGGACTATTATGACTGCTAGTTGTTGAGAATCTATCTGGATCTCTAATCAGGCTAGCGGTAAATACATTGGATTCCAAACATTTGACGTGCCACTGTAGTCATGGAGAATGAGCACGTACAGCTTCTCATCTCACAGTTAAAAACAGACTGTTGTACGTGGAGAGCGTGAACACCTTAGCCCTCTAGGATCCACAATACCTCTGGGATTGGCGCTTACCTCTTCATAGTTAGGGTAAGCTAGAAAATACTTTAGAGCATTGAACACATCTAAACAGAAAATGGAATTTCATTTCCTCACCTCACATTTCCACTGATTAGTCTAACCCAGAGCAAAGAATGTTGCCAGAAGCACCAAAAAACAAGTCACTATACGAAGAGGCCGTTGAAGCTTTCTCATTCTTGAAGGAACGTCTACCTGAAACTCTACAACACCCTCATGTTGCAGTTATTTGTGGCTCCGGTTTAGGAGAACTCGCAAATACCATCCATGATGAGCCGCGAGCAGAATTTGAATATTCTTCCATACCCCATTTCCCTTGTCTGACAGGTAAAATGAAGCCTTGAAGCTCAATATCAACCTCCTGTTTTCTGACCTCTGAAGTGCCCGGACATGCGGGAAAGCTCGTCTTTGGACTACTTGCCGACCATATCCCAGTTGTTCTCATGGTGGGCCGTGCACAGTGAGAGCCCTCAATTCATTCCCTCGCTGACTATAATTAATGAAAATCGTTAATATTTTATTTCGCATGCAGCTACTATGAGGGTCACTCGATACATCAGGTGACATTTCCAATCCGAGTGTTTAAGCTTCTTGGAATTGAGACTATTGTTTGTGAGAACCCCGCGCGCTCTCCGGCACGAGACATTTTTAGTAATTGTGCACAAATAAATAGTAACAAACGCCGCCGGAGGCCTCAATACCGAATATGCGGTTGGAGACATCGTGATCATCAACGATGTATGTCTAATTAACATGTAAGGATGCTGCAAGCTAGGCATACTGACATTGTCGAAATTGCAGCACATCTTCCCTGCAGGATTCGCAGGAACACATCCCCTGCGAGGGCCAAACCCGGAGGAATTCGGACCCAGATTCCCTCCTCTGTCTGACGCATACGATCTCGAGCTCCGTCGCCATGCACACCAGGCATGGAAAGCAGTGATGAGCGAAAACAGTAAACGAAGACTACACGAGGGTGTGTATGCCTTTGTTGCGGGTCCCAGGTGAGTAACTATTCCTCCAGGACCATAAACTCTTATGCAGCCATACACTAATCATTCACAGTTACGAAACTCGCGCTGAATGTCGTATGCTTCGCCAAGTTGGGGCTGATCTGGTTGGCATGTCAACCGTACCAGAAATAATCGTCGCGAGGCACTGCGGCATTAGGGTACTGGCTTTCAGCTTGGTAACCAATAATGCGGTCCTCTCTCCAGTTCCCCGAGGAGATGATCATCTTCTTCAAGCCAAGGACGTGAGGGAGCTGGATTCCATATTGCAAGAAGGCAAGGCAAGCCACGAAGAAGTCCTCGAAGCTGGCCGCACAGCAGCCATCGATATGCAGGTAAGCATGCGCATTGAGAGCAGCTTATCTGTATGGATTGGTATTGATAGGGTAGCAGAAACTCGTCGTGAAGGCCATATCAAATGTCCATGGGCGCCGATAGTGTCCACTCTGTGAGTGGATCAAAGATTCGGTCTGCCTCGAGAAGCAAATGCCACGATTGGACAAGGAGCGTGCAAGAGCAACTTTCTGAGACGATCGTCATGACGGGACCTCTTCACAAGTGGCTAGGAAATGGCAACAGAATAACTCGACCGTTGTACCGAACCCTTCACTGGATTCATGTCCTTCAACATCTGCGAAATTGTCTCATTTTTTTTGACGGTTTCTTTTCGCACGAAGGTTACTGTAGAATGATCTTTTGCCGCTTTGCTTCGATGTTTGAATCTCCCTGTATTTGGAAGCAAAGCGTTTAGTTTCCCGCTCCAAAGCCAAGGCATCTTCAACGAAGGTCTTCTTGCGGTCTTTCTTGGCGATGCGACCGCTGAAGAATTCCGTTGGACCCTCAATGATTGTTCCCAACTGAGAATATTTTGGAGGCTGTGCCTTGCCGCCTTCTTTCTTGTAATGCCTCTTGGGATCTAATACAGAACGCATCCTAATGAGTTGAATATCTCTCTTGAGCTGTGTTGTCAATTCTGTCTTTGGAAGATGGAACCAATCGGCACCGGCGGTTGGCTTTTCCTGTTAAAAGACATTAGCAAAGAACCATCAATAGGTCACAAGACGAGCTAATGTGATGAGATTATGCTCAGAGTAACTATGAAAATTCTGCTCTCATTGGCGCAGCGCAGCCCAATACGGACTGTTGAAGCTGCATCAAGGGCTTACGCAGTGGGAAATTTTCCTCATAGCATGGGTAGGGAAAGGGCGAGGCAAGATAATCAAGAATCTTACCTTATGTGTTGAGGAGTTGACAAAAGCCTGCTGGGTTTTAAGAGTGGACAAGCTCTTATTAGATAAACTCATTTGCAGGGGATCGATGATGCGTTTCGTATCAGCCAAGGCAACATCGTCTCGCTGCGCGATATAAGATTGTAATGAGGAGTCCGTTGTTAACTTCGGAATGCTGCAATAACCACACCATCAGCAACAACTCAATTGACCTTGAGTGATAAGGAAGACTCTTACTTCAAGAAGGGCTTTCCCGAGTGCCCAACGGCTGGGTCCTGCGGAGTGCTCGTCGGCTGAACTTTACATGTTTGCAATCGAGACTCGGCCTCAAGAAGCAGCTGCTCGATATCTTGATCATTCAAGGCACCCGCTTCAAGAGAATGCAGTGCAACTTTACCACATGCTTCTACTTGCATATTTGTGGGAACGTCGTGAAGAGGAGATAAAGCAGAGCAGTGAGGAAAGATTTTGAGAAAGAATTTATGGTGGAAAATCCAAGTCCCGTTTAGCTGTGTTGGGGATAGTTAAATCTCGTGATCCAATGCTATTAGTCATCATAATACATGTAGTTAACTAGTTAAGTAACTAAGTTATGCCCATCAATCTGAGTAATTATTTAGACATGTCTCCAGCACTCCAGGCCAGTATCTCAGGCAACTGCTCTTTTAGATAAGGATCTAATGCGCATGGATTTATCATACACATACACACACAATTTGGTTTTGTTCTGAATCACCATCAATAGGAAGCAGTCACTCTAAATTATTCCGGCAATAGAGATGCAAACTCGACTCCATATCTAAGGTACTCTATACACTTTCAAGTATCTAAACTCATATAATGTAAGTTACCTTAGTCTTGCCCTCATCTTACTTAAGGTACCGTGCCACATGTAACGTTATTAACCTTCGATACCGGTGGAGCCCTTGGACAGCTGCACAACAACTAAAAGGTAGCTGTAGCTGGTTGGGCAAACCAGCAAGAGAGGGCTATAATAGGATGGAAGAACATAAGTTGGTAAAGATCTCATCCTCAAAGTGTAAGGCAAATATATTGGACCAGAATTACAGACACATCAATGAGAAAGATATGAGACTACGGGTAACTAACTCACTTTCAGGGCATCACCTGTTGCCTTTGAGCGGGAAGACACCGCTTACCCCTCAGTTGTATCTGGCCGCAGTGTTCAAACAGCTCAGAATTGAAATTTTGTCGCGGTATTCTTGCATGGTGATATGTGTCTTTATCATGTTTAGCTTGTTAGAGTTCCATCGAGGTCCTACTTAGTGGAGTGTGGACCCTACCTACCCTACCTAGACTGTAGACAGTAAAACAGCAGGTACATAGGTACGGTGCGTAATGCTTGGCGCCTGTTTCAGCGCGCTCCTTGACGTCGACATCTTTGTAACAACCAAGTAGTAACATTTCGACAGTTCGCAATCTATTGCAATATTATTCTGTGACTCGGACACGGCGAAGAAGCTTGACGTTTGTTATTTTTGATCTATTATATTCACAGGAATCGGAATCGCCTACCGCGTCGCACCGTCAGTCACCCAGCAACGCCTTTGGGAGAAACCTATCGCGATACATCCACTGTTGTCTCAACGTGTTGAAGTACTTCATTTTCTTGTACTTGACGCTTCGATTTATTTGGTCGTTGCCAGAAAATCTCAGACATGGAACAGCCTTCGCAGAGTGCCGGACAGCAGCAAGGTAGACAGCAGCCAGTGTATGACACAAGGAACGGCGGACATTATGGTAAGTAGTATCTGTGCATAGACATCCTATGTTCTCAACATCTCATCAAATGTCGAAATTAATCCGTTGTTGTAGGTGCCAGTGCTGCGGTATGGTGGACTCGACCAGCGCAACCATTTTCTAGCTCGTAATAAAAACTGACTTGGAATATGACAGCTTTCAGCGCAGGGGTATGCGCCCGTCGCTGAGCTTTATACGGGAACATGGGCGAATGCAAGTAACCCAACCTAGTGATTTTCATTATACTGATGATAGAAAAGGTCAATCAAGGGCTACAAGGCACAGCCCGCGACATACTAACGACCTACTGGCAACACATTATCAACCATCTCGAATCCGACAATCATGACTACAAAATTCATCAATTGCCACTGGCCCGTATCAAAAAGGTCATGAAGGCAGATCCTGAGGTGAAGATGATATCCGCCGAAGCCCCTATATTGTTTGCGAAAGGCTGCGATATCTTCATCACAGAACTCACTATGCGGGCTTGGATACATGCTGAGGATAACAAGCGACGCACGTTGCAAAGATCAGATATCGCAGCGGCCTTATCCAAATCTGATATGTTTGATTTCCTCATCGACATAGTGCCTCGTGAAGAAGCGACATCGCATGCGAAACGATCGAGCCAGACGACCGCAGGTGCTGCAGGTTCCTCTGCTGCGACAGGTGCCCAACTGCCACCTTCTCAACATGGTGTTCAACATCCTCCGCACCATATGGGTCCCCCAGATTACGGTTCTCTGGGACAGCATGGCATTGGACAAGACCAAGAATATCGACAGCCAACGATGTACGGGGGAGCCGTTCAGTCGGATCCAACGGCCGCGTATGGACAGCCGCAATCCCAAATCTTTGAAGGAATGTACAATCCTTACCCACATCTTCCGCCACAGCAGGTATGCCAAGCCTCTACTTATTGTATTTGAAGTCCGCTATGCGGCATTTCGGTACGTGATTCAGCTAACACTGGTCATTTTGAAAGTGATTATTTGCAGAGGTTTAAGTCTTCATGGACAGGTTAACGAGCATATTGGAAGTTCATTGTCACGGCGCCGTGCTTATCTTTTTTTGTCGCTAGTATTATGATGGATTTTGTGCCTATCACTACCATGGAGTTTCCAAATGGAATCAGACAGAGTGGTTCGCAGTATGCTTAACATCGACTCCGGGCCCTAATTCTATTTAAGCTAGAAGTAAGAGGTTGGTTGGGGAGATGGCTCGGTCAGTCAGTGAGAGAAATCTCGAAATATCCAATTTTGAACGTTTCAAGACTTTTTGCCGAACCTTGAGGAAAGTGTTGCGAACTTATCAATCTTTCCCGAACTTTGAACAGTGCGAGTGAGTCTGTAATATAATCAGTAATTGGCCCCTCCGGGGTATTTGGCCATGGATAGACGTACTTTTCTAAGAGGATAGGGCCATTGATAGCATCCACGCGGCCATACTTCTTATTTCTTGTAGAAATATCGTAAAACTCGTCCGTATTATCCGCCTGCATTAGATGCACAGTCTGTTGCAATTCGTCGAGGTTCTCCCGGAGAATGGGAACACCCAAGCTGTCAACAAACTGAAAGAGATATTCAACATCTTTCGCAAGGGCCATCACTCCATTGGGATTGATGCTTTTTACGTCTGGGGAGAGCGGCTGTGCCTGTCGAGAGAGCAGGGATTAGCCAGTTCTTATATCAAGGAATTAATATGGTATTACCAAGATCATGTTCGCCGCATGGCTGAGAGCATCGAAGTATATGAGTTCCTTGATTTCTGTTGGGAGACCAAGCAATGTTGAGTTCATTATATTGGACAAAAATCGGGTCAGCGTTTGCATGTAGTTGCTGGGCTCAGTCGGAGGCGTGAGTGCCATCCAGTCATACTCTGCAGTTTCAATGAGATCATCAATTTTGGAATTGACGACCTCAAAAATTCTCTTTTCTGCTGATTTTTTGTTGCTTCTGAATTTCTCCGTCGCTCTTAAGGATATCGGACCGCCCGCAGCACCTTGCGATCGAGCAGCGGCGAGAAGCTCCTCGAGCTCACGGCACGCTGATTCAAAATGCTCCAGATTGATTAAGATCTGAACAATCTGGCCCAGATATTGCGAAGAAAGACGCTCAACAAGCGTATCGCAAACTTGGTTTGAAAGAAGCTCATCCAAAGCCTGTAACCATCAGAATGTACTTTCTATGTTTTCGGGCTCGTTGTGACTGACATCTTTGAGAGTATCATCAATCATATGAGGATGCGAGAAATCTTCATTGGCGAAGAAATAAAACTGGTTTAAAAAGTTGCGGATGTCGATGCAACACAAGGGATACATCTGAGAAAAAGGCAGAACACATGGAAACCTATTGAAGTTAGTGAAGAGAACGAAATTCTCACAATCGAGACTGCAGATGTACACTTGCTCCTCCCTTGGCTTCTCAGGATTGTACCAGCTGACATTGAGGACCTTGTCATACTCATCCAGCGATTGTATCGGCATAGGCATATAATCGTCCGTCGATACGATCTTATGATTCAATTAGCAAGGACAAGTTGACCATGATATTGCAGCATACCTCCTGGAAGTCGTCACTGAATCTTTTCTTGAGAAGTTCGGCGTATCTCTTGAACAAAGTCAAGAGCAATTCGTCAAATTTTCCAACAGAGAACTCCCATGTCTGTGTCCAGCAGTGGTCAGTAATGGAGGAAGGGCAAAAGCATCAGCTCCAGCTCCGAAGACATGGACCAACATTCATTGTTTGCATAAATAATGCAACGAGATTTTTGATTTTGAGCAAACTCTCAGCATTATCAACTTCAGGAAGCGCTTTTGAAATGAGGCCCACAGCAGTCTGGCACATTGAGTCCCAGAGCTCATCAACCTAGTCACAAGCATTAGACTTCATGCTGAGCAAATGGCCAGGAGAAGGGTGACTCTACGTCGACAGATGACCTCAAGTCTGGCACTCTCTTCATGGTAGCACGCTCTACGATGGCAAAGCCTGCCATTTCTTCTAGAAGGTTGTGTAGGCAAGCCCCGTCCTCGTCAACCAAAGTTATTGAAGAGGGAATTAGAAGCTCTTTTTGTCGGCGACGGGTATTAGCGTATTCCGTCCGAAACTTGTCCATCTGCCCCAGTGATTGATGGATGTGTAAACACTCAAACAGGGGGGTGAAGTCAACTTGCAGTTCCTCATTCTGTAGTAAATCATATTCTTCGTGCTCATCCGAAACCAGCTCAATAGCAGAGTTCAATTTGAAATGTCTGAGGTATGGTAGTTTCTCCGCCCTCTCCTTTTGTCTTGTCTTCCGGCATTCTGTATGGTAAAGAGCTATTTCTCCGAGAAACTGAGACATCTCGCGGATTCTGTAAAGCCAAGTATTCAGGTCAGATAGCACGGCCTCCGCTATCGCTCGCTGGGTCGCTGGTACTGAGCGCTGAATCATGTCGGCGATTTTATATTGGGTCACGTCCTTGAGGTGCACATTTTGGAGTTCCTCGAGCGCCCGTAAAGCCGCATAGTGGTTTTTCTTGGCTAGTAGATCATGAACTTGATTAGCCAAGCGTAGCACCTCCAAGCAGTCCTGGATGGCGCGAGACGTCTCATCAATATTCTGTCGGTGACTGCGCGACTCTACTAGAGCCTTCTTTTGTTCGGCGAGACGTTCGGTGCTAGCTTGGATAGATTGGTTCAGGTCTAGGATCTCCGCGGTCAAGCTCACTGTTCCTTCTCTGATACGCAGAAGGTGATTGATTGAAGATACAAATTCCTGATGGTTTGTGTTGCATATCGTTTCTATCTCGGCTTCTTTATCGCTGGCGAACTTGGACAGGGACTGCAATAATTGAGACGTTCGATTGCCGACGCTATACTCCCTGATTGATGGGATCAATTGATCGATATAATCCGTGTCCGATGGAGAGATGATGATCTGTGATGCATGGAATTAGCGCTTGGATATGGGACGCCTGCTACTTTGAACTCACTGAATTCAGCACATGTGATGGTTCACTACGCGAAAGAACCATTGACGGCATATTCCATGTATCAATATCCTCGTCTGCGCAGCCTTGATCGTCAAGTGAGGTCGTGTAAGGATGGTCAACTTCCTAGGTTGCTAATATAGGCGAGCAGCACGGGTGCCTGTATCAGGTATAAAGCATGGAAAGGCAAATTTATGTTGATCGTTCTTCAGCAGTGTGCAGGCGTCTAGAGATGACCTAGATGTTTTTCGCATGTACTATGAACTTTTGTATGTTATCTTTACCTTTCTAGAAAGCTGGCTAAGGGCCTACGTCAGGATAAAGTAAAGGAGCTCCATTTTTGTCATGGTCCGTGCGCTTGTCTTAGATATTAAGCACTAACTATTTAGATTAAGTTATTTTAACCCTAAAACAACAACAATGATAACAATACATACATGAATATGTTGAAAGTATGGAATGAACAACCGAACATCGTCAGTCTACAAACTAGCTATGAACTCCTCACTTCACTGGTTCTATCTGTATGATCCTGGTCTCCAGACTTATTTTACTGGAGTACAGAAGAGGATAGCCGTCTATCGAGTCAGATGGGTTTAAGATCAGATCAAAGAAGGAAAATGAAAATCAGCCTACCTTGGACAAGTGCACCAGCATCATGTATAGCTAGGTAGGTGTCTTGGAAAAGATATAAGTCCTACATATAACTAATTAGCTTCATTAGTTGTGTTGGGTTAATATACCATGAAATACTAGTCAGAGTTAACTTTCTATAAGAGTAATAAGTAGGCTCCAACATGACCACCCCCTTTTACTTCTCCTCTTCTAGGCTCTAACATTTCCTATACACCCAAACGTGATGCAGATCATGCAATATGTGTGTTTTCTCCTGAGCCTATTAACCTACTTAAAGAGTACGATAACAGCCTATACGCTGTGAGGTTCCTATTGCCTTTAAAAAGTGCATTGATATTAACCTAGGATAACATCATTTCTGTCATAAATGGTAAGGCCTGAGAAGACAATATATGATGTTCATTTTTCTTTTGGAAATTGATATAGTTATGGCTTGTTTACCCAGTGATTGTTATTATATCACCCATGTGCGATGACAAATTGTATACATAGTAGCCCCGTTGATGTCGCCGGGGCGTTGCTCTTCATCTTCTCATGCTGTCCCTGTCAACTGTTTTATTTTGTTCTGTATCAGCTCCTCTTCAAATCTTGCAAAGTCAGGCCATTTCCCCATGCTCTTCTAATGGTTTAAGACAAGTGCCACTTCCCTCGATTCCTACCTTCTCTTCTTGAGGTGTAATCGCAAATATCTTTAATACACTTCTCAAATTGCTCATTGTTTTCAGAAACGGCTGTCATACTATTGCTGAAGGTTCAGTAGCTTGACATTGTTCCCTGACAAGACACCAGTTCGTTCTCTTGTAATGAGGGCCAACAACTCCTCTCGTGGGTTGAGCAGTCCCTGTTCGACGAACGATGGAATCTCGCCCAATGGATCCCCCGACACCAAGCTTACAGCCTTCTCACCCGAGGATGTACGATCTAAAGGTCGTCCTGAAATCGGTGTTGCTACCTCCCTCGGCGACGCCGGATTCCGCAGGCTGTACACAGTGTAAGTGCGCTATGAAACGAATATACTTCTCTGTTAACACTGCTTAGGCACCCAGCCGATCCATTTTTGGTGCCGTTAGACCCATCTAATCGCGTGCAGCTGTCCCCAACCGCAGCAAGCTTCACCCCTATTGGGATAGCCGGCAGTGCTGCCAGTGATATCCAAGTTCGCGGCCGTTCGAATATCGGCTCCTTGAACGCTCAAGCTAATGTTGAAATCCGCGGAGCCAGAAGCCGACCGGGAGGAGTATATGAGCAGGGCCTACCGAATTATGGGCCTATTGGCCGTGCTCCAATCGCTCAAAAAGGCTGCCCAACTGACATTTTCGCCGGGAATTTTAACAACGACAGACGTAGCCGCGCATTTGTTATTGAAAACGTCCCGGCCAGTCTTAACTTCATGTCTTTGGCTGGTTTCTTCAATGTAAGTTTTCGGATTAGCTGCTCATGTAGTAGAATGCTAACTCTGCAAAAGCGTCGCGAGTTTGCAACTCTCAGAGGACCAGTTCTTAATGAACTCAGCTCCTTGGGCAAGGTGTATGTTGCATTTGCAGATAGTCGTGAGGCGAAGAAGGCAATCGAGAAGGTTCGCCTTCTTCGACCTGAATGGCGTGTCTTCCCACTTACTGCGAAGGAATATGTGAAGCATTCCGAGCCATCTCTTCTCCAGCAGACATCAGATTATGAAGGGCATTTGCTTGTGTCTGTGTACTACGACAGCCGAAACCCCACTTTCAACTCGCATACTGTAGCGCGTTCCCTCAAAACACTTGCAACGACGTTTGGGGACCTCAAGGCATTCGATCTACTTCCCAGGGGACAGGACAATGTCAGCGAGTTCCACCTCGAGTTCTATAACACGCGTGATGCTGATAATGCAATGGTGACACTGAATGGCACCACGGTCGATGTAAGTGAAACATTTTGTATCGTGTTGCCTTTCACATTACGATTTCCCCACCGTCAGCTTAATTTCGTAAAAGTGTCCGAGAATGCTGATGCATCATTTAATAAAGGACTGTATTCTGGAGATTGCTCTGTTCAAGCCTGACGTTACGGAATACGGACCATTCAATGTTCTGCCGAGCCCATCTCCAGTGAAGGATGGAGGCTCACGCTATGGTACTTCATACCACAGAAGCTCGCCGCCTGCCCCAACACGTCCGTTCAGAACGCCTTATATGGAGCTTAGCCCCACTGGCCGCTCCACTGTGCCTTCAGGAGAGCACGCCGGTCTTATGGATTGGATGTCCAGGGCAGGAGAGAAAAACTTGCACTCTCCTCGGCGCGATATCAGTCGTTATCCTGATGCCCGTGTCATTAGCCAAAATGCCGTTGATATCGAAAGAATTCGCCTTGGCTTAGATGTTAGAACAACTGTATGTATGATTGGTCATGCTGCCATCGTCCAGGAACTGACCTGCCAAATTTTCAGATTATGCTCCGCAATATCCCGAATAAAATTGATCAAGTAAGTCCAACGCTTGTCAACGGAAGCGGCACGGCATCTAACACGCTTAGACTATGCTCAAGGCGATCGTTGACGAGACCAGTCACGGGAAGTATGACTTCATGTATTTGCGTATTGGTAAGAAGGAGCACTCTTGGTTTGATTTCAAGATGAAGCTAACCCCCAGCCTCCTAGACTTTGCGAATAACTGCAAGTGAGTCAATTACTTTACCCATGCGTAGCTTCTTGATGACCTGATCATACTCACATTATTGCCAGCGTCGGATATGCTTTTATCAATTTCGAAGACGTAAGTCATATGGAACCGTTTGATTCCTATCCCTGTTCGAAAGTTGTCTAACAAACTGCCAGCCGATTGATATAATCGATGTCAGGAACCCCCCTGTCCCCTTCTTGCCGCCCATTTTACTGAATAAACAATAGTTTGTCAAAACGCGAGCTGGGCGTTCCTGGTACGAGACCCCCCTACCCTCTCTGTTAACATAAGCTGACCATCAATTAGGAACTGCTTTAACAGTGACAAAGTCGCGGAAGTTTCGTATGCTAGTACGTGCCACCTGTTGAACAACAAGGTTGGGCATTCTGACTCCTAAATACAGCGATTCAGGGCAAAGATTGCCTTATACAGAAATTCCGAAATAGTTCGGTCATGTTGGAACATCCATCGTTTCGTCCAAAGGTTAGCGCGGCATAATCAACATGAAGCTAGATAACACGAAAACTAATTGAGAGTGTAGATTTTCCACACCGGCACTGGGCCTCTTGCTGGCACAGAAGATCGTTTTCCCGGACCAGACAATCCTTCGAAAATGCGTCGCAGCATCGAAAATGCTGAACATATCGGTAAGCTCATATATCTCTAGGACAATATGACGGTTTGCTAACAAATCATATCACCAGGATTGTTCGCACCACGTGTCGGACAGCAATATCGGGACGAACAACGTCGACGCCGCTCACAATTCGATCGTGGGACTACCGCTGCTGAACGAGAGATCGTATATGTCCAGACAATTGCTTCACATCCCTTTGGTGTCAATAATGGCCTGCGAAGTGCTCCCTGCACTTATCCTACATCAACCATATGGTACGATCCGACGATCTCTGCGCGCGGTCCAAGAACGTCCTAGTGCAAATATCGCACCAGAAAGCCTTCTTCGAACGTGCCTCCCGGCCGGAAGTTCAGGAAAATAACTGATTGATATTGCGAGACAATACTTGCGAAAAAAGTGTCAATTGGGACTTGACCTCGCTGGCGATGCAGGACCCTTCACGAACTCGTCTTACCCCACTAACTTCTTGTCCCGAGTACAGCAGACACTCAGAGAGTGAGATGACCGACTTGTCTGATTCACAGGAGAGAACCATTCAATGCCCTGGTTGGCACGCAATATGGGGTCTCAGTTCGAGTCCAATGTTGGGTTCATCTCCATTTGGAAGCCCATCTCTGTGAGATTTAGGTGTCTTTCCTCCTGGTGTCTATTCTGAAATAATGATCGAAATTATGTCTACTCCTTTACTTCCCTTTTCTTTTCTTCATCTCTAGGAGAGATTAAAGTGATCAATTCATGACTTGCCCTTTTTCTTGCTTTGTCTTCATTCGTAGACTGTCTCTATCTGAAAGCGCAAATAGCCGACCTGATCGCATTTAGTGGCTTGCATGAACGGCATTAATTTCTCTGTAAACCGTATGCGTGTTGGTTGCTCGATCAACTTCGTGATGAGACCACGATTTTCCGGGTGTGGGTGGAGTACTATTTATTCCTTATCTAGCTAGCAGTTTGACTTCACTTCTTAAAAATAAAACACCGAGCCAGTCTACAAAGGGTATCGAAACCACGGCGTAGATTTCTCTTCATCATTATTCTATTTCGAATACTTTCTCTCTCTCTCCTTTTTCATCTTGCATTTCTTTTCCCTTGCTTACTTGCTTGCTTCATCCTCCCCCTTTGGTTCTTTACCTGCATCACGCCCGTTCCTGGCATCGTCTATTCCTAATGAGAAGCTCTCATGCCATGGATTCGAAAAGCCGGTTATAGTTTGTTCCGCACAAGAGCTTCTAGTTAACATTATTCTTCAAGATTCATGAGCAGCTCGTTGCCATCAGGGTACTTTAAAGAAGTAATGGATGTCAAAGAAATCATAGCTTTACATTCACTGCTTCATTTAGTTTTCCACCGAAATAAGAATCAGCACGGGAACACGAAATGGTGGAAATGGTTGTCTATCTTGAAACGCATCACTCTGAAACTCGCTAAGTCATTGGAGACCGATGCCTTCCATACTGCTCGCCTATTTAAAGAGCATCTGGCTTTGCATGTCATTCCACATTGTTACCTGTAAGTCACGCTATCGTGGCCTATCACTCTGCCATTATTTTCTGATACCTTGGGTCCATTAATTTTCAATGACTAAACATGTATCAGGGCATTCTCGACAGTCATAGCCGATGGCCAGTTTTCTACAATAGGCACAGTGCTGGTAGCTGCGCTTGCTCGTTTAACTAAAGCGACAGGAATAGACAAGGAGATGAACTCCCTGCATCGAAAGAAAATGGCATTTCGGCCGTCGACTTGCCTTAATAATTTGCAACAGGAGGATGTGGGAGAAGTTGTTTCTCGGTTGAGCGAGTCTTTTATCCCTGTTCCAGGCTCTCTGTCTGACAAGCAAGACGGTTTAGAAGAACCGAATAGCCACCAGAGGGCAGCAAGAGAAACTGCTACTATCGCTGTAAAACCTTCGGGCCAGAAGAAGAGGAAGAAGAACGCCATCGATGATCTTTTCAATGGGATGCTGTGATCATGCTGGCTGCTTAGAGTCAGACATTATTCAACTACTTGCGGACCATCCAAATTCGGAATGTATCAGTTAAGAATAAACGATGCCCAGTTGTATCCTCATAGCAACTCGGTTAACGACAAGCAACTGAATGAAACGCATTATTGCCAGTTCAAAACTTGCGACACGTTCGCCGTAGCCGGTAAATTGATAAACAGATGGTTGAGAATAGTCCACGCCAATGTATAAAGATATTTTGGTGAAAAGACTGTCCAGATGAAAAGATGTGTCCGTAACATTGTACAAGCCGCCATGACGGACATCAAAGATGTTGCAGCATGGAAGGTTAGGAGGGTCCTATGGCCGTATCTCTCCGCAAAGGTTGGATTTGAGTAGAGAAGCCGAGAAGCGGATGCCCACCATATGGGTCCAGCCCAATTGCTTATGAATGTCAAGAGTCCCACCAGCACCACACTATAACTGCCAATCCCGTTGTATGCGTTCGAAAGATCGACAGAAGATATTGCATTCGAACCTCCAAATGCAAAAAATGTCATATTCTGTGAAAGCAAGGACGTAATGGTCACTTCAATAGCGCTCATTTTCAGAGAATCAAGAATCATAGCCTGTAGTCGAAACATCAGAAAGATCGGGATATTAACCGCTTTTGACTGTGTTATCAAGAAGAGGGTCAGGCTTTCATGAAATATAGTGCCCAGCGGGATCACTAATGTTTGTCAGTAAAACCCGCGCAGTAGTAATTGGTCAACACTCGCCTCCTGTTAAAGAAGATCGTTTCTGCGTGGCATTCATCATAAAGAACGATGTTACCACCAGTAGGGCAATTCCACAGAAGACGAGTCTTGCGGGTAGAACCAATGGCATCTCTTCAAGGCTTTTCTGTACGGGTGATAGGAGGGACTCGTCAAGAAGCTCGGGCGAGTCGGACGCCACGAAAACCAGCTTGAAAAAGAAGGCCGCTATTGTCGTCAGTATAGCTGCAGAACGCCAGATACTACTCGGGGGTGAATTGAGACAAAGACGCATGCATGTATCCAAGTAAGTCAGTATAATCAAGGCCCACAAGACGTTCTGATGGCGAGGAAAGAAAGTTCGCGCAATATCTGGCTCAGCAGCAAATTTTTGGCCTGTTTGATTCCAGCGTCTGAGAATCCGATAAGAGATGGCCAGCCCAACTGTCATACATCTTGCAAACCGTGAGAACGAGAACCGAGCATCTTTCGAGCCATGCCATGGGCGGAGTGATTTTATGTGCAAATAGACGGTCCATGCCGTGACGACCCAATACCAGAATTGTTGCTCTTCCTCCACGTAGCTACTGGCAAACATCATACCACCGTAGCTTATAATGCCCAACATGAGAAACGTCACAGCATCGCTGGACTTCGAGACCAATCCATATGCTGGAAAAAAAGAGAGTAAGACAGCAAGAGCCGCGACGGACAAGCCCAAATAAAGTCTTGTTGTATTGTATTTACTGGCAGTGCTGCTCATCACTTCCTGGGCAGATCTTAGAACCCTTAGCAGAGCCGATTCGACATCTGGCCGAGTTGTTCTGTTTCGCTCCAGTCCGTGGACCAATTGTAGTGCTTGAAACCAGGCACACTGAACTTTGGCAGGACCTGTTGGCAACTGCTTGTCGCAGCCGTGAGGAGTAGTTGCTTCAAGATCTAGATCGGGAAAGGTCCCCTTCATTGCGTTAAGCATCTGCTTGGCGTTTCGAAGCAGGATATCAATTCTGTGAGCATCTAGAGCCAAGAGGCAACATGTCAGTTTTGAAATACGTTGCGGACGAAAAGGAACTGGCGACATTACCATTATCCCACATCATGAGAAACTCTGGTATGAAAATGCCGAGACTATTCAGCGGAATAGGTAAACCCAGGAGCCCTGCCAGAGTCGGCGTGATGTCCATCTGCTCGACAGTCCGATAGTATTGCAAGTCGCTAAATGCTTCAACCGGACTGTCTTCGGGGCTTTTTTTAGTCTGAAACTTCGGTGAAATGAAAAGCAAGGCGGGCGAAGTTTCTCCCGGTGATGAGCCACCATGATTCCCGGCATCGTTCATGCCATGATCTCCGCACAGAACAAACAGAGTCGATTGAAGATGTTCCTGTTCCTCTATTGCGGCATAAATTAGAGCAACGATCGAGTCCATCTCTCGTTGCTTTGTCATCATATGTCGACTACGATATTAGGACACAACTCGGAAAGCGAAGTGAAAGTCGAATGTCTCACCTCTTAGGGCCAGCTTTGTGACCAATATGGTCCAATCCCAAAAAGTGCATTATGAAGGCCGACCAATCGCGCTCTGATAGCTCCCGCGGGACATGGCGAGTAACATTGTGATCTACTTCAGTGAAATCCTGTAGGTGGCTATTAATTATTTGACCCGTTTGTGTGTCTTCTGTTCGCTCATTGGTTATGACTGACCGATACGAAGAAACTCGTAGTCCCATCAGACCTATCAAAGACTCCCGGAAATAGCTTGATCCAAGTGTCATCACCGTACATGACAAGCTCACCTCCCTGCGCCTTTATCTGCGCTAGCCATGTATCTTGATATGCGAGGGTAGAAGAGGTATCAGACTCTGCGATGTTCAATATCACGTCCAAGAAGGACGGCACGGAGCCAGTTGTCATGGCCTTGAGCCGTGGCATCGTGACCGTTGGAGAGCTGGCATGGGCCGTGAAAGGTAGAGCCGCTCCAGAACGGATTAGGCTGTTGATCTCGAAATGCCTCAGTCAGCAGCAGATCCCGTGGCAAAATCATTATGTGGCTTCTGGTTGACCTTTGGGTGAAAGAGAACCCGGAAGTCTCTGAATAAACGAAATCACTAGCATTAAGGCTCAGCTAGGGATACAGAATTGAGCATTTAGATACAATTAGTCGTACCTGCGCAAAGCATCAATCACCATGAAAATCACTCTATCAAAGACTTTTGGTGCCACAGTGTTAATATTAGTCTCATCGAATGTGGCCAGTCCTGGAAGTAAAGACTTGTAGGGGAAAAATCCGGATGAAAATATCGACATGGCTACAACAATGAGTATATTGGCGATTGGAATTGCCCGATGCTCCCATTTGAGAGCCATCTTACAGGCTTCGATATCTTTGACCCGAGCGCCAGGGAGCTCAATAGAGTATTGAAACCTGTTGCATATCAACCGCGACTTGCTTAAGATTATCGAGGTCTCATAAGCTGCCAGGTTGTGTGAAGTCTCCAAAGCCTGTCAAGGAGGTACTAAAATTATGGACAACATGCTAACCAAGTACGGCATTCAAGCGGCAGAATATCGATCACCTCCGCAACCTCCGCAACCTCCGCAACGTCAATGTATCCTACTTTCTGATTACAGTTCTAACTTTGATGATAGGACTCCAACATATTAGCTAAGTTTTTTATTTTTATTTTATTTTTAAATTTTTTTAATATTTTTTTGGTATCTAAAGCTAGAAGAACGAATTTGAAAGCCAGATTGTCGGAGGTGATGAACTGACTTTGTTGCTGTATCGACGAACGATAGCTGCGATTCGGGGAGGTTATCATATCAGATTCGGGCTTGTCAAACTCAACATCCACACGCATTTAATTGACGTTGCTCACCGCGGGCGATAACAGCAGAAGATAATATTGTGCTATTTGCAAGGCACTTGGTCTCAACTTGTAAAATATACAGCTTAATTTTCAAGGTGACTTTGTATAATCAAATGATTGGAGATTCTATACCACTTATCTTACCGTAGGGATGTCAGGGGGAACCACACCCTGGAACACCGCCTCCCATATGGGGTTAGCAGATTATGTATAGCCAACGGTCCAGCTGTGTAATTATAACAATAGCAGGTTGATAAATTATATGACTTTAGAGAGGTATATGCATGCATTAAGCACACCGTCTTGTTATGAAGATACCCAGAGTATGCACCTTAACACAGATACGTGGAAAATTGATAGCCGTAATAATAGTAACGAATGGTCTCAAGCCAAAAATATTAATCCTTGATGGTTTGATAAGAGGCACATGTTCCTTCTAGTACCTCTGTATGCAAACTCAAAGTCCCAATCTGGGAGTATCGCCCAGGGATGGTTGTGCTTGATAGTTTTGTACCATAAGGCTCCCACATGTTTGACGCAGTGGAGCTGGAAAAATGCAAGTACCTTTTGCAAGCTAAAACTCCCAACGCCGCTTTTCAGATGTCATTCGTCCGCTTTCGAGATTTATTAATCACTTCCTTTGAGATCCCTTTTTTGTTTTCGAAGGATGTGATTGGAAGACAATGGAGGAACGGGGCTTCTTGCGTTTTTGAACACGTCCTGACTTCTTAGAGCGACTTTGAGTGTGCTTAACAGACATTGTGTCGACGTCCATGTCTAGAAGGAAACCAATATCAGCATTGTGATTTCTTTCGCGAAGATTTGGTCCTCTGGGATGGGGTAAAGGAGAGGAGAGGCACACCTTCATTTATTACTGATGGTTTGCTGTCTGTAGATTTGACTTGGTTACCTGTACAGTGGAATGAGACTGTTAATTGAAGAACGAACATGCAGTTGAACTATATTGAGCACTGATTGTGGGAGCAACGAACCAGTTCCTGTAGTATCCAGTTCCATACTTGAAGTTTTGTGTTCTCTGATTATCGGCTGAGAAGCCAGCTCTTTCAACTTTGCAGACAGCCTCTCTGTCCGCGCATCAGTAGCAGGGCCAAAGACTGTGGCCCGGAGTTTGGCCCTGTTGCGCTTGGAAACACTGGCTCGAACACTCTTTGCCATGTTGTTTGTTTCGAGTAAAACTTGTCAGAACTTTAGCAGTTGTGAGAAAACGATCGGAGACGTGGATATCAGAAAGGTGGTAAACAATTGGGGGGGTGGGGGGAGAAAGTTGAAGTCGCGATATAGGTACAAGATATTTTTTCTCGAACTTCACTCTAGTCTCGTTCTGGGCCAATCTTATGTCATCACTTCGGAAACCTTAACTGGGCTATTCGCTCTGTCGCACCTCAGATGCGACAGGAGTTTTGGTCATAAATGTATACAGCTTCCTTTTGTTTTTCTTTTTCTTGCCTTTTCTTTGTTCTTCTACTACCTCATCTGATCTTCCTGCCGAGAATCGAAACTGTCAATAAGATAAGAGTTGAAATGTTTGTCAATAGAGCTGGCAATCTAAGCGCATTCGCCTCTAACCACACTGCTTGAGTTAATTTATACTCTGCCATCCGCACTCGTCATATCAGCTCGGAATCATGGCCTCTGCCGTTCAGTCGTCTGAGCTCCAGAGCGTTGTTGCTTTGATAAAGACACTCACGAATGCACAGCTTAAAGATATCTTAAGGAGTGAGGGGCTCGCTGTTTCTGGTGTTAAAGCATCGCTACAACTCCGGATAATAGACTGTTCGTTCTCCCTCTATTTGCTACTTTGTTTTCATTTCAATTGGTGTTCAAGAACACTGAGACTGCCTAAAACTCTGTTGACTGGATTATCTAGATATTGAGCGACTCAACCAAGGAGGTCATACTGAGCGTTATGATAATCTAAGGAGATTCATTTATGCTACAGCGCATCGCGCGATGCCTGGGCCATCAACGACACAACAACCTCTCCCAAGTCAACCATATCACGCATCACCTATTACCCCGCCAATACAAACACAGCATAGGCCAACGCCTTTGACTATACCAATGTCATCGCATGGATTCACACCTGGTAACCTGTGCACACTTCATTTCTCTATGATCGTTGCTCATGTGTTTTCAGGCCGCATTACTTTCAAAGACAGCCCGTTCTATACAATCTTGGAGCAGCTTACTCCTACTGTAGAATGCAAAAGTGAGCATTGATCCTATCAGCTGAGATCAACCACCAGTCAAGTCTAACTTCTTAAGTACGGGAGCAAACCAGGGACAATGTCGAGCTGAAAGTCGTCCTCACCCCAACTGTAGCTTCAAGATTGCAAGCTGATCCCAATATTCGGGTAATGGTTTATTGCGCAGCGGACAGTGGCCTCAATCAATACACCAAGTCCGATATTGCTTTCCCTCACCAAGTTGAGCTCAAAGCGAATTTGGACGAGGTCAAGGCTAATCTGAAGGGCCTCAAGAATAAACCTGGTACAACAAGGCCCGCGGATGTGACGAATTATATCCGCAAAAAGCCCGGGTATCCCAATCATATTGTTATGACTTATGCGCTTACGCAGAAGGCAAGCCGTCCCTTTCAGGCCCACCCATGCTCAGCTCATTCCATCATGTCAGTGCCCATTATGCATTCTTCCTGACTATCTTGTAGAGATTTTTCGTTCTTGTGAACCTAGTCCAGCGCCATCCCATTGAAGACCTTGTCTTGGAATTGAAGAGGAGGAAAACGATCACAAAAGAGCAAGTATTACGAGAAAGTATGTACCCGCCTATCCTTCCCATGCATCGCATTCCTCTAATGGTTTGCAGTGAAGAATAGAGCAGAGGATTCTGACATCGTTGCCACCTCCACTGTCATGTCCTTGAAATGTCCTCTTTCCACGCTGCGGATCGAGGTCCCCTGTCGCACTGTCGTCTGCACGCATAACCAGTGTTTTGATGCATCGTCGTTCTTACAGTTGCAGGAGCAAGCGCCTACATGGTCATGTCCGGTTTGTTCCAAGGCCACCAGCTATGAATCATTGCAAGTTGATCAGTAAGCTGCGCGAATTCGCAACTGTCACGTAAAATAAACTAACTGTGAAGATATGTTGATGATATACTTCATTCCACATCGCCGGATGTGGAACAGGTCATTATTGAACCGGACGGGAAGTGGTCGAGTCCAAAGGAAGACGAGTGCAAAGGCGCTGGGGCGTCACTCCGGCGACAGAGGACGAGGACGAGCTGATCGAGATCAAAGAACCTGGAATTGTGCATGTGAAGCAGGAGTCGCTCTCAGCATCGGGCCTCTCCCTAGAGAGGACACCGGCTCAATCCCGGGAGCCGTCAGCGACATCATCTGCAGCTCGTCTGTCCACTAACAAACGCCCGGCAGCCCAAGTGATCGATCTGACTGGTAGTGATGATGATGGCGATCTTTCCCCAGTCAGACCAGCTAAGCGTCTGGGATCAAATGCTCCCCATCGGGCTTATGCTCGACCAGCATTTCGTAACTCGTTTAGCAGCGGCCTTGTAAACGGAGGAAATTTCTCTTTTACGAACCAGACTAATTCGGAGTCACCTAGACATATTGGTGGTTTTGATGCGTGATGAGATCTAGCGAGACATACATATTTGCATGGGGGCATGGCGCAATTGGGTCCAGGCGTTATTGCTGGGCATAGGCACGTTGGGCGAGTTTCGATGAGGAGGAGCAACATTAGACATGGTCCAATAAACCCTGTTAGTTGGTGAGGTAACAACAGTTCACTACTATTAAATTTGGCTCATTTCCCACATGCATTAAACGCCCTCAATGGCTCTGAACATGTTCATTGAAATGCAGATGCTACAGATGATACCAATCTGCATGTAGATTTCGTCGTTAGAGATTTTTATAGTAAGTTGAATTTGTCAGTGTAGTAGGATGAAATTGTTGTGATTACAGAAGTCGGGCGGCAGAAGTTAGGGAGTAAGTCCAAGCATTACCTTATCAAAAGGACCAAAACCACGTTGCGGAGTTCTGAGTCCACCTCCGCAAATACTCATGATCACGGATATGGAAAACGAAGTTATCTGAGCTGAGGTTTAGCGTTATCCTACAATTTTCAGATTGGAAATAACGTATTGTATATCTCGCAGACAATTTCCACACGGACTCATCGAGATGTCGTTTGATGCATCTGTCTCATCTATCAATAGCTCTGATCCTCATGCTCGCTTCCTGAGTACCTCATGCCTAGACTTTCTTCTGATAGAGCTCGTTCCAATGGCCGAACGCTTAGCAAGGGAATTGGCACTCAATGACAAAGCTTCAGATGATGACGAAATCAGGGAGTCGACATTCTTTCGACTAGAGTCTATAGGCTACCGAGTTGGTCAAGGACTTGCGGAACGGTAAGCCAGCGACACATTCTGTCTAGTACTTGAGGGATGGAACATGTGTTCGGATGAACATAAGGCAGAGGCGATCTCCCTGAACAGGGCTTGACTGAACGCAAATGCAGCTGACATATCCCTCTCGCATCTTCTCACCGGGCAGATTTTCTCGCGATCGCCCTCGTTTCACAGACAATCTCGATGTTATCAAGTTTCTGTGCAAGGATCTGTGGACCGTTCTTTTCAGGAAACAAGTGGATAATTTGAAAACAAATCACCGGGTTAGTACACGGAAGCGACTTTAGACCAAACTTAATGCGCTTGAGTGTTCAGGGTCTTTCACGGATAGAAGCTGACAGTGGTATATCCTATCTTTCAGGGTGTCTACGTCCTCACAGATAACTCGTTTCGACCATTTGCAAGAATGAGTACGGCTTCTCGAAGCGAGGCGACTGCTATGGCACAAGCGGTGGGCAAGGCCCCATATTCCTACCTTCATCGTCATTCTGACATTTGGACATGACCCCAGTTTCTCTGGTTTCCGTGCGGCGTCATTCGTGGTGCTTTATCGAACATGGGCATTGCCACCACTGTACAAGCCGAAACGTCTGAGCTTCCCGGGGCGACGTTCCAAATCAAAACAGTTCAGCCAAGGCCCTGAACGCTGGGGACGGTGAATTTGCTAGAAGGCACCAGATGAAATAACACCAAAGACCCCTCTTGTCTCTCGTCGCGATGGCAGGCTCAGTCAATTATCTCATTTACACTGCAACAGGGCTCACATTAAAAGCAAAAAAGAAAAAAAAGGATTCATTTCGTTTCTGCATGCATGTCTCTAGGGCCCTGCATTTCAAGAACCTAATGATCAACCCCACGGCCACCTCCTCCATCAGTCTTCATCAACCTTATAATTTAGAGCCTATCTTTCCGGGATAGCTTTGATCAGCGACGTCCTTTTCAATTGTGGTGAGCTCTTCGGGGAGGGGAAAATGCCACCGACAAGTGCTCTTCAGGGAAGACAACGGTGCGGCTGGCCAATGGGGGTGAGCTTGTTTGACGGGGATAGGCGAGTTTACTTTGGTGGGGTATTCTTGACGAATTCGATGCCCTTTTCGATGTTGCCCTTAAGGCCCTTGGTGCAAGCCTCGAGGAGCGTCTTTTCCTGCTCGGTGACGCCCTGGAGAATGTTGATGGCTTTCTCCGCGCCATTAGGCTTTTTTGCATTTAGCATATACTATATGAGAATGGTCTGTGCTGGAGACGTGGAAACACTTACTCCGAGTTCGACAAGAGTCGAGAAGAACTCAACACCTGTGTCGTTGGCGATTTCCTCGCCACCAGTGACACCTCGCAAGTAAATGTAAGTGGGTTCGACAATGCCTGACTGGCCCTGCGAAGCCCTGATAACCCTTTCGGCAAATCTACCTCGAATTAGCAGGGAGGCGGATTCAAGCTCCGGAGAAAGTGGCAGACCTGAAGCCAGCATAAGCCATGGACAAAGTGGCGGAGCCGGCGCCATCTTTAGCCTTGACTACCTCATCTCCGCCGAACTGGACACCTACGGACGAGTCAGTCGCCAGTTGCAAATAGCTGTAGATATAGTGCAGACACTCACGGTTCACAAGTGCGTCATACTTGTCTGCAGGAATATCCAAGGCAGGGGAAGCCTTGCTAAAGAGGGGAACGATGGTCTCGCCAGAGTGCCCGCCAACGACAGGAATTTGAACTTTGGATGGATCCTTCTGTCCGGAATATTCTTGAGTGAAGGTCTCTGCACGGACAACATCCAGAGTGGTGACTCCAAAGAGGCGCTTGGGATCGAAGACACCCTGTTTCTTGAGCACCTCAGCGGCGATTGGGACTGTGGAGTTTACAGGATTCGAGATGATGAGTACAAAAGCCTTGGGGCAGTACTGTGCGATTCCCGTCACCAAGTCGCGGACGATACCAGCATTCACCTTGAAAAGATCGTCACGACTCATGCCAGGCTTGCCTGTTGGGAAGAATTGAGTCAGAAGAAGAGCAGCAGTTACTTTTCATTTCTGGCGAATAGGAGTACTAACGAGGGATTCCAGCAGGAATGACGACAACATCAGTGTCAGTCAATGCATTCTTCAGACCATCGTCTTTGGGAAGGTAGCCGGAGACTTTCTGTAAGTGCGAGTCAGGATCGAGGATTTAGTCACTCGAGTTGATGGGCCTAGGCAGTTGTCACATACAGCGACAGAAGAGATGTGAGACAGATCCGCAGCGACGCCGGGGGTGTTGACGACATCGTAGAGAGCAAGCTCATCAACCAGAGGGCATGCCTTCAACAGAAGAGATAGAGGCTAAAGACGCGACGAGAATGAATATCAGTACGTGACTATGTGATAAGCGGTGACTCATAAAGTCAGAGGGTACATACCTGGCCAATGCCACCAGAGGCTCCGAGAACAGCTATAGGAATGAATTAGTAGGATAAATCTTTCGGTGGTCTCAGAGGAAGCAGATCAGATGCTTACCCGCCTTGACCATGATGAGAGATTAGAGCTTTATGCTTGGTAGCTGTTGATTAAGAACAAGAAAGCACTGTATCTGTATCGCGTGTGAGTAAGACGGACTGACAGAATCGGACCAACGCAAGATTGGGGAATTGTTGATGGAAGGAGAACGACCGGTCGAAGGTGAAAGAAAGCACTTGAGGTAGAGCGGGGGTGGAGCAGGAGGGATAGAGGGAGCTACGGAGGGGCATGCAGGAGTACTGTAGGGAGGGGTAACGGTAAACCAAACGGGAACAAACAACGCGCCATATTTGGGGTTGGGAAGGGGATGAACGGGGAAGGCACAAACAAACAGTGCGAATAGTAGAAACAAGAGCTATCTATAGGTTCATAGATCCCACTGGACGTACATTTCTTGAGGAATTGATGATAAAAAAACTTGGCAATTTCTTTAGGAGATGGAGATCTGTACAATCATAATAATAAGGGCAATTAACTAGTTCTTATAGATACAGGAACGCGGCGACGGCCAGGTATATGATGCCCATCAGTACTGTCTCGGGTAGGTAAGGAAATAATGCATGCATGTCCAACCATTATCCAGTCCTTATCAAGACTAATTATTATGATTATAGCTCTGTTGCTCTCATACAGACCTGCGTTGCGGAGGGGTAGACCGGCAACGGAGATCACATGTGGGGAGTGTATTTAGGAGAGCTCCCACAGTTCTAGTCCGATGTTTGCGTATCTATGTACAGAGTAATCATTGATCTTACCGGAAACTTCCTGACACCGATGGTAATTACCCAAGGAAGATCAACCGCGGACTTATCACATCCATCGGTATTAACCGCTACCTATACTCTCGCCATCTTATGGTAGGTTTATATAGAAGAATGACCCTGGGATATCCTTTTCGCATCGTCTATCAGTTCCACCCTGCTGAGACTGTTTACCTAGTCTACAGAGCACCAGAAGTACATAGCTATCTCCTACATCCAGTTCACAGCTTACCTATATCCATGTCCCCGATGGTACTGTCATGATACAGGCCGAGAAACTTTCTCATGTCTCTTGTCCATAAATGTAAGGTACGTGGGAGTCCACTTGATCCAATCCGAAGCGCACCAGATTCCGACAATTTTCGTGTGTTCCACGATATGTATCACCGAGGAACCTACCGAATTTGAGAGTTGATTCCATCTATCCATCATGAACTCGGGAAAAGGCGGGTGTTGAGTGTTACATGCGGCAAAAGCTGAAAGCTCCAAGCTCTGTCCCAACAGGTTCTAGAATATGTTTCGGCCCGACAAGCGGCTGCAATCGTTGAAAATCCGGAACATGTGCCAACTGCAAGTAATGACCATGCCGTAGGACATCTATCAGTAGAGAACTACGCGATCTAAATTACGGAGTTTTTGTCCTATGGCCCGGCAAACGTAATCTGGACTCAACCATTCTGCACGGCATTTGATTCTCGCTTTCTTTTTTATGGTGCTGAGATTGCTGATGGCCTCGGAAGGACAATACCCAATAACGATATTGCTAAATTACAGGGACGCTTTCGCCCTTGACCAGCACGGCTCTATTTCAGTCGACGCGCCCGTTCCTTGACCTCTTGTCTTCGGCGTTTTTGTTGCTGAGATTTGTATTTACTCCGTCTTCTGCTCCGCAGCCTTTCTGGCCTGAGCGCCTCTGAGCTTCTTGGGGGCAGCGTCCTTCTTGGGCTTCTGGGAGCGACGGATGGCGCTCACACGAGCAACGGCATCTTCACGGAGGTCGGCGCGGTAGCCGTTCTTGGCAGTCTTGCTTGCTACAGCCTTGTAGATCCTGTGCCATAGAACAATGCCCCTGATTAGCAAAACCGGCCTGATACAAAGCCACCCGGCAAATCGGTGGGAAATAGGTTGTTCTGCTTACTTGCGGGTGGCAGCGTTAGGGCCCCAGCTGACGCTGACCAGGTTCTTCGCGGGCTGCTGAGGGTTGCCAGGCTTCTTGGTGATGACAACAACACCGCCGTTCTCAGTAGCCTGCACACCGACCGCCTGTTCATAAGAGCTTAGACACAATTCTTCTTTATTATCGAAAGTCTGCAAGTTGATGATGTATGAAGTACCTTGGTGTTGGCATAGCCAGCATACTATACAGAGTATTGAAGTCAGCGTTTCTAGTGCCATCGGAATCATAATTGATCTTCAGGATTGTACCTTGAAAGACTGCTTGTTTTGCAGGTTCAGGGGATCGCGGGAGAACTGGGAGCCACCACCGGTCCTCCGCTTGACCAGAAAAGCATTCTGGCTGCCTGTTCAGAGCATATGAATCAGCAAAAATTAAGGATGTTAACGGACAGTATGGGCAGAGCAAAAGACACAGAAAACTCCGTTACTCCGGAGTAGAAAGGTTAGGTAACGGCAAAAAAGAGATAAACGTACGAGTGATCTGCCAGACAAGGTCGCTGGAAACGTTTGTTCTTTCGGCGGCCATTGTGAAATGTCTTTTTCAAGCTGATTGAATGGGAACAGATCGAACTCGACGCGAGGCTGGTATACTTGAATTGCCTGGGATCGTTATTGTGTGCGCCCGTGCCAAGAACAGAATCCAACAATCTCGCTAAGGCGACCGTTTTCGGAATAGTCTGACCTTCAAGATTAAGTCATTCAGGAAGAGCCCCAAAGACGTGCGCCCGCCCCCCTCCCCATACCGGCCAGGCTGCTTCCAATCATATCTTGGTGCCGATGAGCTACCTTATCTGTACCTTACGTGCTAGCCAAGGTACTCCGAACCTGCCTTTCTCAGCTTGATATTGATCCGGCTTTAACATTGTTGGGCATGATATTTTGAGTGCCAACTATATTTCACCGTCTTTCTGTTCAGATGCTTACTTTGTAGCTGGTTGTGGCAGTATCCTGCCCGGCCAGCGTCACACGTTACTGGCTTCTACCTGATGAATCCCTGACGAGTTGCCACACATCACAATTCCCATCTGCCTTGCCGCCAGTATTCCGGTACACCCGCAGTAGGAAGTCATATTAACTAACATAGCAACATCAATATTTACTCGCCGAAGTCCGTGTAATTGCATATACGCGGTCAATATGGCGTACTATACTCTTTATTTCCTCACCTTTGCTGTCGTGATTTGCGGGACTGGTATGTCTGATCCACAAACTGTATACCTTGGTTATAACCAACCTGACGCCCGTTGGCAGCGCTTTATCTCGCCCGGTCCCGGTGGTTGCCCTTAATCCCAGTCCCGGATCATCTTTATGCTCGCCTTCCCTCCAGCTTTGCGGGGGACCTGGAGGCGGGCCTCTCCTCATCACAGTTCGATATATCGTCCAACATCGCAGATGGCGACTCAAGAGCCGGCTTAGACAACAAAGCAAAACGCGAGGTGCAGAAGATCATGAAGACGCAGAATGTTACCTTCGATGAAGCTCGACGCATCTACACAGAACGACGGTTTGCTACCCACAATATCGGTCCTGACGGTCGGCCAAGGGACCCGAAGTTCGTGTCATTCTCTTAACCACTACTCCTGCTCCGATTTCTAATTCCCTATCGCTGTCTGTCGCCTATCGTTTGCACCGCCATTTGGCATCTGCCCTTCCGAAGCAGCAGTTGCTCTTCTTCGCTGACCCAGCTTTCATTTGCCCTTCTCTCATTTTCTTATGCTCATCAGGCGTGTCCCTGTCCTGAAGTCCCTCCAATTTCGTGAACATGCAGGAGGAAACAGCTATGAATGAAGTATTTGATGCCACCGAATGTCACTTCTTCTATTGTAATCAAAACATGCTGGCCATCTTCGTAGGTTGGTCTGTATAGCTAGATGCCAATATCGCATCAGAGTATGAGCAGTTCACTTGCCACGTCTCATGTGAATCAAGTACAATCGCAATATATACCCGCCGCTGAATGATACCACTTTGGGTAATAACATGCTGCCTCACCGCAAGACTAATGGAAGGAATATAAAACCCTGATCAATCATGTAATTTCGCCCCCAAACTTCTACCTCATTATCAATGGATTAGTTAGCTCAATAGGGTTCCTGGAGAACAAAAACTGATCTGCCATGTAGTGGCGTGCTTTAATACACAGGATAGGGAATCACCTGAACCACATGCTCTCGTCGACTCGTATCGCAGCGAAACTGTGGGAAAAGACCATTGTCGTCAAAAGTAATTCATGAGAGATATATTTCTGCATCAATGCTCGTTTAAAGTGCAAATACGAACGATCCAAAGCTCAGCGGCCGCCACCATAACCAGGTTGCGGGAAGCCCGGTGGTAATGGTGGAGGGTTCGGGGTTCCTGATGGGGGACCGAAACCCGGTGGCGCGAACCCCGGCGGCGGTGCTGCTTGCTGTGGGAAGGGTGGCTGTTGACCAGCAGTATTGAAAGCAGGGGGAAGAAATGTCTGAGGGCCACCGTAACCGGCTCGCGAGGGCGGAGGTCTTGCCGGTAAACCGGGAGGTGGGTTTGCCAAGGGAGCGGTAGGAGGGAGTTGCCGATTAGGTTGCGGCGGAGGTACGCTCTGAAAGCCCAAGTTAGGCGGCGGTACGCCTCTTCCCGTTGCTAATTCCGGCGGAGCGGCGCTCAACACTTGTGTGCCTTCTCCATTAGCCATCGCAGCGGCTGCCATAGGAGTTCCTGGGTTGGTGAATTGCGGAGGAAGCGGCTGTGTTGGCGGACGGACATTATGCTTGCGAGCCTGCGCAGCCAGCATTCGTTCTGCCTGATCACCGTGCCTTTCACCTTTGCCGTCTTTTTTATAGGCGTACTGCACGGAAACTTGTTTGTTCATTAGATACTGCCCGTTCATGTTGGCAATAGCAGCATCTGAGGACTCGAAGTCGGCAAATGATACGAATCCATAGCCCTTGGAAAGGTTGTTATCATCGCGTGCAACCTACAGTTTGTTAGCTTGTTGCAGAAGAGGAAAAATTTTTATTAGGCAGACATTTATTGTCGCCTTACCTTTGGAATATTGACGAGCGTTCCGAAGCGACTGAACGTGTCATAGAGGACCTGCTCCGTGACCAACGGATCAAGATTTCCAACAAAGAGCTCTGCTCCGATTTCCACGGCTTTTTGTTTATCGGCAGATGCCTTGTTGACTCGTATAGGTTTCCCATAAAGGCGAATCCCGTTCATTATTCGCGAAGCATATTCAGCATCCTCCTCGCTTATGAATTCCACAAAGCCGTAACCCTGGTGTGACTGCGTCACTCGATCTTTGGGAAGGTGAACATTAACGATGCGCCCAGCCTGCAGCATCAGCTCCCATACCAGGCTATCGGTGACCCGTTCATCGAGATTACCAATGTAAACGGTGGCCTCCTTATCTTGCTCCCTAGAAAGTTAAGAGGCTCCTGGTCAATCTTTTGGTTTGCGTTGTAGCGTTGTGTCATAAGTAAAAAGCGGTTACTCACCAGTGCCTCGCGCCGGACATGTTGCCGACTCTCAATTTAGGGTATCTGACTGTTGTCTTGTAGTCAAATTCTCGTTAGAGGATAGTGAAAGATACAGGACACTCTGGACAAAAATGATGTTTGTCAGACGTGACAATAGTTGTAAGTTTGGATGTGGTTTGCAAGAACGGGTATCTTGCGGACTTTGGGGGTAGCTTTTTTTGCCTCGAAAGTTCCCAGAAAACTCTTGAACTTCAACTGCTCGTCTCTAACTCCGCCCAAGCACTCCGCATTCAATAACTTCCTGCGCTGACTCTACTCGCCTTTCCTGGCTCCAAGGTCCGAGTATTGATATAATTATTTCCCGTTCGTCCGCCGAAATGGTTCAGTTTTCCGAGGAGACTAAGGTTGGATCTTCCGTCAATGGAAATGTTCTTAGTCTATATTCCCCTGCTAACCAGACATTTTGATCTCCAGGAGCGAATCTCCAAGGTCATTGACGTCTCGAGAGTCGCTATCCACTAGTAATACCCCCTTTCGGCGAGGTTTCCCAATTTGGTGACAGTATTGACGGTTCTTTTTACGCAGTGGCTATCTGCCTCTGATCATCTATCTGGGTATGCAACTCCCCCCTCAGATCTTAATCATCAGAAATGCTCACGACGAGAAACAGGCTACACATACAGCGAGCCCAGACCCTCGCTTTTCAAGTAATACCTCAGCGAAATCTTACTCCTTCGATTCCAGACAACTGATCCTCCCAACAGGTTGTTTTCGCCTCTTGCTTAAAGAAGACGATGACGGGAATTGGGGATTATGAAACAGGTTTTCAGACTTGAGTGCATTCTCATTATCATCCTCGGCACCTGTTTCTCTCCCGGACATAAAGGCTAAGAGGAGGTAATGGAGATCCTCGAGCCCTCTTTCATACTTCATGTCGATGTCTTGGAGATGACATTGACACTCATGTATTTCTAAAGTTGTTTCATGTTTGCGAACTGTTCTGCGCTTTTCATAGACTGATAAGCTTCTTCCTCGAGAAATGCTACACCGTCTTAACACTCATTTGGGTAAACTAATAACTCGCGGCAAGTGGGCTCATCCTCGCAGGAATGGGGTTCATTTATCAAGAAAGATTTGTATGTGTATAAAGCTTTGTCGAATCGGACACCCCCTTCGCTTCTCATGTAGAATATCATTTATCGGTCATCGTCTCAACTTGAACAATTGCGCGGAGTTGAAACGCCTCGCCGGATTGCTGCGCTTATTGCCGAGGAGCAAAAAAAGCAAGACCCGCAAGTTTGCGCAACAACTCTCATGCACGCTGTTTCGAAGATTGGCTCTCCGAAAGTCCGTTCACGCGCTCCCAAAAGATTCTGAAGAATCACACACGATTTTCATGACTATTAAGGATGGCCTGTCGTCATCCTTTGTGGAGACCATAGCAGGATTTACAGCGGGAATAGTCTCTACGCTCTGCCTCCATCCGCTAGATTTATTAAAGACAAGGCTACAGGGTACGTGACTCGACGCGTATACTACTTCCCGAGTAGGTCAGAGGACATCTTCATGGAGCTTACTCATGCGCAAACTGAGACTTAGTTGACCGATCCTCGCCTTCTCAACTTGGTGGATCGCTCCGTGTCATCCGTGAAATTTCACGCCGTGAGGGCGGCATCACCGCATTCTACCGAGGGTTAACACCCAACATCATCGGGAATTCCACCAGCTGGGCGCTGTACTTTTTTTGCTATGGGAAGACGAAAGATCTGATGCGGAGGCTCCGCGGCTCGCGAGTGCCGGAGCTCACCTCGACTGACTACTTTGTTGCATCAGGACTGGCAGGTATGATCTTTGCGCCCATCTGCGTTTCATTGGACTCCAAATGCTCACGAATCACATTTGCTAATTGCACTATATTGCTTTAGGACTTGCCACATCAGTTTTGACGAATCCTATATGGGTGATCAAAACCCGCATGTTATCCACCGGTTCCAACACTCCCGGAGCCTATGCGTCTTTTACCACCGGCGTAGCACAGATCTATCGCTCTGAGGGTATCCCTGGCTTCTACCGGGGCCTTTTGCCCGCATTATTCGGAGTCAGTCATGGAGCTCTTCAGTTCATGGCGTATGAGAAGTTGAAAGCGTATCGTACAAGGATGAGGTCGGCTTCGCGTACTAGTGGCGATAGCATGGGGGCGACACCGGCACGACAATTGGGGAATTTCGATTTCTTTCTCACCTCAAGCCTTTCAAAGATCTTCGCAGGCTGTGTCACCTATCCCTATCAAGTGCTGAGATCTCGTCTGCAGACATATGACGCTCACCTTGTGTATCGTGGTGTTCGTGATGCAATGGCACAGATTTGGGCTCAAGAGGGCTTTGCTGGTTTCTACAAGGGTTTGGGCCCGAACCTCCTGCGCGTGCTACCAAGCACATGGGTAACCTTTCTGGTGTATGAGAATACCAAGTCTTGCCTAGTTTAACATCACGACAGTAGAGGCCGCTATTCACTTGCCGAAGGGCATATCATTAGCACAGTTCTTCGAACTCTGGCAGGTGGGACTCTTTGCAATGGACATAGTCATGAGAGCGAAAACTCCGTATTGGGGACTATCGTCCACCTAAGCATGATGCTTGAATTCTTATCAGCCAAACGGAACAATTAGTAGATCGAGCCACATGTGAGCCTATATACTGAAACATGTCTGTTGATGTTGGTTTTTGTACAGGACTGACCCTTTCCTTCGTGCAAAACCGAGCACTGTCCTCAATGATGCTATCCCTCAAGAAACCCGTAACACACTATCACCCGCAAACTCCAGAAAACATATGAGCCTGAAAGCAAATGAAGGTAAGAAGTACATCAGTAGCCTGGACGAAAGAAGCGCAAGTCCAAGACAGACAAAACTTGGTATCTCGAAAAAGAAAACAGAAAAAGAAAACAGAAAAATAAAAAAGAAACTGTAATAGAAAAAGAAAGAACAAGCCAAAGGCAGAGAAAATGAATATGAAGCTGAATGACTGAAATAACACCGTTCAATGACCTCTTCTATCGGTGTAATAGGTTTCGGGGTCCTCTTCTTCTCCGCTGGAGCTGCCGGTATAGGCAGATGAGGCTTCACGACTGCCGCGCGACGCCTTGACGTCCTCATCACTTTCGAAAGATTGCATTCGCGTGCATGAGGCAGAACTGTCATTGGACTTGGACGTGGGGGAGATCCTCCGATCCTTGCCACGACCCTTGATGCCTTTGTTGCTGTTTTTATATAGGGTGGCAAAGTACTCCCAAAGCTGGCGATCCTGAGGGTTCATGAGTTGCGCCTCGGACATTTGAGAAAACTTCAGAGTCAACGTCCTTAGCGTAGCGGCGTGGAACTTGTTTTGGTGCGACTGTCCAATCCATTAGCTCAGAGAGTCTCTGGGGCCAGAGTTACTTGTTTCATGAGACAGTATACCTTGAGGTTACCTAGCTGAGTAAATTGTTTCCCACAGTCATCGAGTAGACAAGTGAAGGGCTTAGCATGTTGATGAGTGATCTTGTGGGCACGAACATTGCCTCTTTGGGCGAATCGCTTCTGGCAGATATCACAGGAGAAGGGCTTTTCGCCCGTATGGCGGCGTTGATGTGTCTAGATTATGACCATTACATGTCAGGATGCGATTCCTTCATCATCGATAGGGTGTTTCTCTCGGTGCGTTACCTTGAGATTGCCCAATTGGGAGAAACGCTGTCCGCACGAAGGCTCTTTGCATACCTTACGGCGAAATGCAATGTCAGAAGTCGAGGTTCCGAGAATGTGGGTTTATTGTTGGGTGCACTTACAAAGGGCTTATCCCCAGTGTGTGCCCTCATGTGGATATCCAAATGAGTCTTCTGGGCAAAGCTCTTCCCACAGTTGGGAAGTCGGCATATGTACTTTCGTTTTTTTCCCGGCCGGGAAGCGAGCTCCTCAACCGCCATGTTGCATCGCGGAGTTGACGAGGCCATGGCATAGGTCTGAGAGAAGTTATTCTCACCGCTGTGTGTCAACTGTTGGAGCGGCGGTAACGGCTGTAGAGCCGACTGTTGAGTGACAGCTTTTGCTTGAATAGCTTTCATAAGGATGTCTACCTCCGTTGAGAACTCTATCTCAGTCGAGCCAGGGCCCTTCTCCTGGGTAGCCCCAGTGGCCGGTGGTTGAGCCGCTGCAATAGGTTGTGATGATACGCTCTGTTCCAACTTTGCCAATGGCTTTCCCACAATGCGACTGATGGCGTTCTTCGCTGGGCGGATGTCGGGAATCTGTTGAACGGTTGGCGGTTCAGATGAGAGACGTACTGGCTGCGAATTGAACGATGGATGACCCGTAAGATAGAAGTGTTGGTAGCCCGGGAGGTGATGAGGGTGCTGGTTTATCGTATGACTGAAACCATACGGCGTGGAAGACGATTGGTGATAGGGCAAAGGAAAAGATGTAGCCGGGTTATTGTAATAAGAGAAGTTTGACCCAAGGCCCGCGTGCAGTAACCGACGAGGAGCCATTGAACCCATTGCATGGCCGGTGAACTCGTATGAAACTGGTTCCGCTGTTTCCATTGTGTCGCGAACAAGGTGAGATAACGAACGTTGGATGTCGTGAAATTCCCAACCCTCTCGCTTCCAATATATATCTCTCTCGGTTTCTCTTGACAGAAGGACGGCGAGGATCTAAAAATCCCATAGAGGTCTCCTTAACAGTCCCTACTATGTGACACAGTTGGGCTCTCGAAGGCTTTTGAGGTCCAAATTGCTGTGCCAGGTGTTCGGTGACTTTCGATCCCCCAATGCCAGCTTCCAAGAAAGCAAGAGAGGTTTCAGTAATACTCGGGTGGATGAGGTAGGCAGAGACGCAAGAAGATCTTAGGAACGAGCTTCTGAAGGCAAGCAAGACAATGCTATAAGGTGGATGGCCAAAGTACCCACAACAGAGACCATAGATATTTGTGTACTGGTGCACTGGCAAGGCCAGGCCTTTCCTGGGTATTGAGAATGGGAAAAACAAAGGCAAATCAATATATGACAATGTGAACAATGGGAAATTGAAAGAAGATATGGGGTAATCAAACAAGAAGGTGGTCGAGGTGATCAGCGAAAGTCCAGTTTAAGAGTCTTTTTTGCTTATCCAACTCAGTGTGAGATCTCTTTTATATTGGCCAGTGAATAGTGACCAGTGAGTAGACTCATTTTTCCGCCCCCATCTCGGGGGTGCGTGTGGTGGTGATCTAGAACTAGATATACCTACGTGATCCTCATAACTGAATCGTTCTTCCCTGTGTCCCAGAATAGTGGAAGCAGCGGGGGTGGGCAGTGACAAGGATCTGGCCTGCTAATTTAGTTAGCTGAAGGCTTATAGACTACGATCAAAAGAGAGACTAGATGAAGCATTAAGGAGGCTAACCTAAGGATGACACTTACCTACTTAGAGTACAGAAGTGTATATGTTTGTATGAGTGAACCTGCATATATGAAAATTACCAAATTAGGTAGAGAGGAAGGTAAAAATAAGTTAAATTAATTTTTTTTTAAAAAAAAAAAAATACATTAAATAAATAAATAAATACAGCGGAACAAAAAAAAAAAAAAGGAAATGAAAGCAAGGATTGGGCAGGAAAACAATAAGCTTGAAGAGAGTACCATGGGAATTGAAAAAGAATTCCCAATGAAAAACCATATATAATTTAACAAAAAAATATTAATAAGGAATATAAATTCAAGGAAATTGTAGTAATACTTTACATCCCACAGAATGGTACCTTAGTAATTAATATTATCATCATTTATTTATTATTATTTATTTGATCATGATGAACATGAGAGGTAGTCTGCCATACAATTGCGCCCCCCACTCAGCATCTAGTGGCTTAGGCATTATGTGCCAATTCCCAAGGTTAAGTTGATAATAATGAAGATTGCCCCTAGTCAAGTACTAAAAAGCTGCCAATTAGATGACGTGATTGCCCCGGCTATTCCACTGGTTGAAAATTGTCAACACAGGAATGAGTAAGGTACACCCAGTTGGCACCAGTGAGCTGGAATGACAATTAGGGAGTATGAGTACCTAACAATGATGAGATTATCTATAGCCAAGTACTTCGAGGTTAAAGATGTCACCCTTTCAGTCATGTTCTTAGAAATTGGGCACATAGCTGAAGCTGCTGGTCAGAGTTACCACAGTATTCCCTCGTTCTTGACTGGGGGCGAATGGTAATAAAATGCTTATTGTAATTGGGTGATCTAGATCTTTCCCCTTTCCTTAGCTGCCCGTCACCACTTCACCGGGATCTAGTCTTGATATGACACTTTTCAGTCGCCGCCGGAAGTCAATAAATAGTTGATGATGGCCTTGAGGACCGCTGTTTTTGAGCCCTGTTGCCCAATCGCGGAACTCATGTTGAAATTCCGATCGGGGGCTTCATGGGCAAATCACTGTACCATTGTGTCACGCTGTCATAGCTCATGCATTGACCTGATGGTACGGCTAGCCTTCCCAGATATCATGAACCTTGAATCTTTATTCCAGTGGACTCCGATCTACCTAATGTTTTATTTTTTACATGATATTTAGGTCGCTGTGTCTTGAGGCACTCTACTTTCTAATGGTAGGTAAAGTATGCACTGCTTTGAAATAATTTATGAGTCTACACTACCTATGAATCCGCCAAGTACTTGACTCTTTGACTGATTTTAATTTCAGAATGAATGGCCTTTGTTAGAAGGCAACCAGGCATTTGTCACAATTTCCGCGATACGCACTTACCTTATGCCACGAACTATAAGTAAAAATCGTGGGTATGTATCATCTGACCCGCCAGAGTGGACCGGCTCAATTGCCTGGCATTTGAACGGGATGGATTCTTCCTATTCTTCATAATTTGATAATTCGAGCCTCCAGTGATCCAGTCAGGCTGGCTGGATGCCATTATTATGGGTCCCCCATAAGGATAATACTCGTATTCCAATAGGTGTGGTATGGGGAAGAACAGGGATACCCTCGTCACCCACGCAGGTAGGCACCTGAACACTTGGAATATTCGTTAGTTTCTATTCAAAGACACTGACTGGCATGATGCTGAATTAACTACGTACTGATCTTCAGCCGTCACCTGGATGTCGATCCTGAAACGGTGGCTCATGCCCGCATCAATTAGACCAACCCAGTCAGGTCCAATATCCATCTGAGTTCACCCATGGAGGCAAGGTAGGTAGGTATACCTAGGTACTTCTTCGTTCCACTCCATATCTTCAGTTCCCTGTACCTCTATTTGAAGCAATGTGTAGTTGTCCGTCAGCTCAGTTTGTTGCAACTCGCCATCTGATTCCGAGATCTTCCTTTTGTTCGATCCAAAGCGTCTGATGGATGAGGATTCTTAGCTTCATTCGGGCCAAGGTCACTAGCTGAAGTTTGTGATTCAGGCGGCAGCTTCGGATTGAAAAGCCAGCTTCTTAGTGGTTGCGGTTGCAGACCTGCTGCAGGGCGGCCGGAGGTTCCGTGGGGTGAAGCTGAAAGCTAGATAAGTCAAGGTTCAGGAGTGTATGGAGTAATGGACAAGATTGTCAGTTGGACATAATTATTCTATCCCTTTTTCGACTCCAGCACAAACGGACTCTCGATCTCCCGTCACGGCGCACTGTGGTAGGCGTTACCTGTTGACCAAAAACATTGATTGCATTTCA